TTTACACAGAGTCTAGTATGGAGGGTTCATGAAAGGTTCATAAAAACGTATAATCAATCATTTCATAAGGTGATTATTTTTTTCTAAATGATCCAACTTTCTGATAAGAAAACATAATAATATTCAATAAAATACTAATACTAATTAGAAAATTATTATTAGTTTTTTGTATTGAAAAATAAAATGAGAAAATATATTTCTTGCCAAATGACAAGGCATAGCAAATAGCACTTCCTATTCTTTGCGTGAGTATATAAATTGAATGGCACTAGCAGACAACTTATGAATGTTCGTATTAAAAAGTCGGTATATTATCAATAAAAACTAAATTGTTTTCATCTGTGTAGTCTTATTAGAACTTAATAACCTATTTAATTATTCTAAATGAGGAATTTAATGCTTGTATTGGAATATTTGAGTGGTTTTACAGATTTTATAGTTAGTATAACCCTTGCCTTAGACCACACAGGCCGGTGCTTCATCTGCCACTAGAGAATAAACTAGTTGAACAGTAAGCGAACAGCGACTCTTAAAGAAACTAGACTAAAAAAAAGCTGTGCAAAGTAAATGACGATGACATATCAAGATCCGTTGACGACAGTTCAACTAATGGAGTATAGTGTATGAAAAAAGAATAGATTCATCAACATAAATGCAATCACGATTAATACTGACTTATGCATGCTTTCGTCATGTAATAAACATGACTCCATCCCCCTGACGCTAGGTCATGTTTGATGACATGATGAAAACAACTTCAATTATGATTCTTTTTATATTGATAATTTTTTATTAATACATTGAATAAAGACTACTGTATATCTTTAAATAAAACTTAAAATTTAATAATTAATTATTAAACAATAGGATCTATGTTTAAATAAAACCAATATGAACAACCTTCATTGTTCATATGGCAGTGGTAGTAAATGGTGGCTAATACAAGTTTAACTATCCATAAACATTGACTGACCAATGGTAGTGCTTGGGTTTAAAATTCAACCTTGCTAGTGTATTGAAGTACAAAACTACACCCTGGGGGATGGTGAATTGTTCTTCAAGGTACACTAGAAGGATTTATTTTCCCCTTAATCTTTTTTTGGGACTTTTCTGACTTCTTAAAGGTCAACAATTTGATGTACTGTAAGAAGTCAGATCATGGTGATATAGCTCCTAATTGAAGCAAGGTTAAATGAGGTTTTTTTTTTTGTTTCTTTAACACTTCAATTCTTTCCATTCAAAAAAATCTCAAATTCTCTCATATATTGATGGCTAGCATTAACTCTCATGAAATACCCAGCCCACTGTTGCAATCCTAGAAAGGTGGAACAGTACAATGTGCACACATTTCGGTGGCCATACTGATAAGATCTACTACAGTAATCTTTCATAATTTTCAGAGTTTTTTTATTTGAATATATTAATGACCTTTAGTATAAATAGTATCACATGAAGGCCCACAGTATCCTGGCAACTACTGTATACGAGTCTTTCTTTTATGTCCCTCACGTTGTCATCCTTCTTTCCAATTCCAAGGACGGAAACTGTTTACCTTACCTCTCTCATCACTAATGCGCTTACTGATGGGTAAACAGAAAATTAGAATCAAAATACAATGGTAAACAAACTATAAAATAATTAAGGTGAAAAAAGTAAGTCCCATTATACAACCACAAACAGTTTGCTGGTTGATTCCTATTTCAGTCTGTATTTTCTTTGCACCCTTTACTACAATTTACTGGATAGCTTACTTATACTGTATATCTATTTATATATTTTTGTATATGTAAAATATATAAATAATTTTAAAATACAAAATGCAAAATTACAAATATTAAAAACTGCCACATGGGCTACTTAGAATTTTTTATTTTTAATCTTGATTTTGTTCTTATAGTGGAAATCTTGGTAAAGCTACTGTAGTACCTAGGTAACACATACCACAGAACCTATGGCCAAGGACTGATTAATATAGCCTCAGAACAGACTGTCTCCATTCCCAACAACACTAATTGCATAGAGTTGTCATTAATGGTACTGTGTTTGGCATCAATCATTAGTCAATCCCCTATCTCTTACTCTTTCTAAACACCCCAGGGCTAGTTAACTTGTACAGTACTAGAACTGGATAAAACTTAATCTTGTGAGGGATTAATATTAGAAGCCACTTCAGGGAGATATGGATTAATAAGCTTTTTTAACACAACTTAACAACTCATTATATTTTCCTGCCTGCAGTAATATCCATAGCTAGCTGATTTTAGGGACACAATTAGAAAAGTAGTGAAAACATACAAAGAAAATCTGAATTTGCCCAGGAGGTTTTGCTTGCTTAAAGAAGACCTTGTCGATTTTCAGGAGATGCCTCTACCTGCAATTCATATTTAGTCCATGCATTACAACTCTCTATCTATCATTTCCATTTCAAGGGTACCAGGTACAAATCATGAAAAACTTTGCTCAAAAAACTAAAACAACTCTACTCTCTAACATTCCTAATGAGATTCTCCATAAGATCCTTTATTAGAAAGCTTACATTAGTACAGGTATAATAAAATACAGTATACTTGTATACACATGGAGGTATAAAAATTAAATACAAAAAATGTTGTGATCTAGATGAATAGCATTAAATACAAAACCTGAATATAGTTTTATTACCTATCTCTTTTCTCCTGCATTGCAATTCTACATTTGAGCAACCAGGATGAAAAAGCTAGATTATGCTTATCTAACAACACACACCAGTAACTCACCAACTGATTTGCCCTAATTACTGTATTATATTTCATATAGAAACAAGATCCAATTTGTATCTCACAGAGAGGTCTTCAGGCCATGTCCTATTACAAAAGTATCACTTGTTGAAAGATATGAACTCAGGTGTTGAATATGCACTCCAAATATAAGTATAGGGACTTAGAAAAAGAAGATTGTTTCTACTTGATTTTCAGAGACCATTAATGGTCCTATAATCTCATCACATGACCTCAGGATCAGTCTTACCTCATCAACTGCCAATATTCCAATGTTTTAGGGTTGCTCTCCCTGACAACAGTCTCAATAAGGTTTAGTTTGTTTAAGGGACGTGCTCAGAAAATTGGAGGACAAACATGAAACTAAAGGAAGAGGAACCAATTCTGATAAAAGATAGATTAATCAAATACATTTATCATTAATATTTACATAATTAAATAATAAAGTAATTAATGCAACATGAATTCAGATGATATTTTGTCTACTGAGAAATATAATTTCAGAGATCATAAAACAAATAAAAATGAATGTAATTTAATAATGTTTTACATTATAATCCATAATTTAATATATTTTTTATAGTATAATGTTATTTCTATATGTGGTATAACGATCAACTCAAATAAAAATAATAATCACAATGATGTAATCATTATATTTATGAATGGTTAAAAATTACAAATAAAAAAGTAATATTGCTTATAGGTAATAACAACTCTGACATCTACCATATAGAGCTCTAAAATTGAATGAAGAAAGTAAACTATAATAATGTAGTATTACAATTTAATATAAAGTTTTTATCCAATGTAGGTTTTTCTAAAGCAGATTATTTCTTTAAATTTATTTCTAAATTTCATACTTTCAACTTTTAAGAGATGGTTATTATTAGTCAGTCAAGGGGACTTTCCTTTATACCCCTTCTTCTTCCCGTTTTTTAACATAATGTTCCTGGGTGAGTAACCGGATGTATATCAAATATTATTCATGTCTCCGCTGCACCAATAGGCTCTGAGTTCAACTTAGGTTACTGTATGCTTGTAATCTTAGAATTCCTATTTGTTTTTATTATTATTGAAATATCATTCTCTATACTGTCGGCATATTTATTATTCATGGGCTATCTCAAAGTGGTACCGTTAGATTTTAGGAAAGATACAAAGAAAAAGAACACAAAATCAACAAAACACAACAATATCTTAAAGAAACATAAATGTAAAAAATTTTATGAAAGAATAGAATGTTGGAATTATAATATTGTCATATCTTTAAAATTAGTTTATGTTTGATGAAGTAAATCCTTTGTTGAATACAATCCTGAAGGTTATGCATTGACAAACATTCCAAGGTGGTATACCGTAACTACATTATTATGAGTTTGGTTATTTGTCAAATTGTAAAAGGAGACTGTTAAGATGAGCACCAATTTTAACATTTGCTGTAGGCCTATATATACTGGTTAATAAGTAATTATCATTCATTCCATATGAAGGCTAAATAAACACTGATGACCTTTATATCATACGTGTATTATATAATATATTTCTTCATATCACATTGTTTTATCTGAGTATGTGTATTATATATTATATTATTATTAAATCATATTTGTTTTATATGTGTATTATATGTGTATTATATATTATAATATTATTATTATATCATATTTGTTTTATATGTACAGTATATTATATATATTATTAATCATATTTTTTTATATGTGTATTATATTATAACATATTTGTTTTATGAGTATTATATATGTATTATATATTATATTACTATTATATCATATTTGTTTTATATGAGTATTATATGTATATTATATATTATTATATCATATTTGTTTTATGTGTATTATATGTGTATTATATATTATAATATTTATATTATTATATCATATTTGTTTTATATGTGTATTATATATTATAATTACATCATATTTGTTTTATATGTGTATTATATATTGTATTATTACATCATATATATTTTGTATGTGCATTATATGTGCACTATAATTTTATATCATATTTGATGTGTATTACTATAAGCATCAATACCACAGTGGTATCGCCTTGAGAAACTACTCAAAATCAATGGTGCCAAATGGGGAGGAGAAGAGGTCGAACACTTCAATATCCTCAATTCCATCACCCTAATTAACATCATCTTCCTCATCATTTTCATTACACCAATCATTGCAATTAATATGATCACAGAGATAACATATAACTAATGCTCACCTGGAAATCCACCGGGGGGTGATATGAAGCCTGCTAGCCATGATTTCTTTGGAATTAATTTCTTTTTAACTGTAGACAATGATGCAGTAAGCACTTGACACTTACATTCCTTATCTTTGAATCTCATTGACTCCTAAAAGTTATCAATAAAATAAAAAACATTATTATTAATGTATATATTTTCTCTCCCAGATCCGACCATCTATTTTAACTTAACTGTCATAAATCCTCTATGCCCTATTCCTATATGATGTTCATTCGAACAGAACTGTATTCTTTATTAGAGATTTCATCTGAGGCCACACAATCATCACTATTATAAGCTATTATAGGACTTCCTATAGAAATCTATTAATAACCATTGATATCCTACAGGTGTCCACGCTATCAAATTTTTTTGTGAAAAATTTGTGTGATGTGCCCATATATGGGCATGATGATGTCCTGCTACATCCAAATATGGGCATTTAACAGTTATTTGCCAAATCAATTTAGTAGGGGCAAAGCTTTATAATCAAAAAGTTTTTTCATGAGCTCACCTCTCTGGTATTGAAGAAATAAATTCTACCACAACCTTTGCAAAGCAATGTACGTTGCCGTTTCCAATGGATACAGAACTCATTGTTTGTCTCTCCATGAAGAATCTCAAGCAGACCCTCAAAATCATCTGTGAAAATCAAAATGTTTATGTTACTAATTTTTTTTAATTAATTCTGTTAAAAATAAAACATATTAATAATAATAATATCTCGAATCTATATGGCACCAATTGCAAACAAGGTCAAAGGTACAATTCATGTGACTTAAAGTTGCAAAGAGAGTAATAGAAGAAGTTATGTAATTTGGAAGCTGGTTCCAAAAAAAGGCAGAAGTATTGTTATGTTATGATCTATTTTTAAGTTGGTATACAGTAAGAGATTATTATAACTTAGCAATGTTTGGTCAGATTCTGATAGTGAATTCTTTTATTCATAAAGCTCATGCCACATTATCAAATTTTTTGTGACAAATTTGTGTGATGTGCCCATATATGGGCATGATGATGTCATATTACAGCCAAATATAGGCATATCGTAGTTTTTTGTAGCCCCAAAATATGGGCATATCGTAGTTTTTTGTCACATAAAATTTAATAGTTATGGACAGAGCTTAATCTGGAGCAACAAACTGTGCGCGTGGTAAATGTCTGTTGGAAGTTGGAGAATGCTCTAATTCAATTAATCCAAGTTTGATTTATGATTGACAACAAAAATTTTAGTGATATGCCTAAACTTTAATATAAAACATTTTGTAATAAATGTCATTGGTTTTAAGTGTAAATGTATTTGACCTTCAGTTTATTCTCATTTTTATTGATATGACAATCAAATACGACGACAATCCAATATTATTACACCATAATGCCACTATTCGCTTTCTTTCAAACTATGTAACATTGATATATTTTAGAATACTACCAATAATAAAAACATCAAATTATCATTTAACTTTCAAATGCAAGGACCAAATCAATAAACATTAATATATATGTGATTGCTATAGTAAATAAAGCATCTATCACCTTAAGTTATCTAACTTATTAACTCAATACCATAGAGTGCTCAATACCAATTGAGAACTTAAATCTTGGAAGTTTTCAATACACCAGAGGGCAGCAAAGAACTTATTCAATTTGTTAAATGTTTATTTCAGTAATCTACTTTAAATGATACTAGTTAGATAGTGCATCCATCCAAATAAGGCTGTATAATCAGTACAGACCACATTAATAATTAATGAGAATTTAAATTTAAAGGTATACCACAATAGTTTATTGAAGATCATCCAATATCTTCACCAAAATTATATGTTTTGAGCAAAGATCTTATAAACACAAGATAGCGTTCTCCACGATTTACGCGTAACAAATAGAAGCATCGGTCAAGGTTCAAAAGTTTCCCATTTAGCAAGAGGGCGCCATTCATGCGCTATTACCGAAGAGAAAAAGTAATCAGTTTTGGAAGAGGGCGTCCTATCTGTTGCCATGGATCTGAGATGGTTCGTGTTCTGCTCTTCACAGGATTTATACCCTAAGGTAAAGTCGCGCGGTGTACTGTATGGTCAGAGCGGTCAAGGGTCAAAAGTTTCCAATTTAGCAAGAGGGCGCCATTCATGCCTTATTACAGAATTTGCACTCGTAAATCGCGGAGAACGCTATCTTGTATTTATAAGATCTTTGGTTTTGAGTTATGTGCTGTAATCATCTCAGAGAGGGCAGCAAACTACTTATCTTTAATATCATAAAATGATATATATTATAATACATTATAAACAGCTATAGTTGTCAGGAAGTGGGTTATCATGGTTCACAGCAGATTCCCTTCCTTTTGTTATCTTCATTGACATATCTATGGGAGTAGGGTTTGGGTGCAAATCATCTCAAGTTAAATTAGTATAAAATCACCTCATAGGCCTATCTCCCTATTTTGCCAGCTAGTTCCCTTCACTTTATCATTGAGTCCTCCCTCTTCATTCCCCCATGAGAACCTATCAGACCCACTTTTCAATATTCCAATGCCCAGTTTGTCACCCATTACTTAACAGTCCAAAAATATTCTGAAAATTATAATTTTCTAATCACTATGCATTTCCAGTTTTCTGCTTATTTGCAGTTTTTCGTCTCCACTGCTTCAAATCTTACCATCATTCATGTGACAGACATTTCATTACCAAGCTTGTATAACAGCACATCACCTTAACCTAAAAGTGTTCATGTTGCACATAAATGCTTTTTGTGTAATCAGTGAAACAGTGGTACAGGTCTTTTGGCAATTGTTTGACAGAATTCTGATCATAAAATTTGCATTTCTGTTTTCATTAAAAAAAAATTTAAAAAAACACAATTACCTACAATTTCAGGTTTTCTACTAAGAGCTCTATTTTTTTAGATCATCAGTAATTTCATTTGCACCTGATCTCTGGTAATGTTATAAAGACTTGATTTACTATGCATACCAGTATTTTTAACATATAGTAGAAGTGGTAATTAATCACTGTATCAGTTATCTCATGTACTTATAAGCATTTACTAATCTACCTATCATGTATTTTATGAGGTACAGCATCCCAACCTCATTAAAATGCTGATGATATATTTCTACTGTGAACACACCTTTGTAAACCTGACAGAAAAACAAAATGTTTCACACAAAATCACATATCTTGTAATTTTCTATAGTACATTTTTTTGAGGTGTATACCACAATATATAAACTGATATTCAGTACAGCACCATGTCAAACAATGTATTGTATGTTTAGGCCTGTAGTATTTTGCCTAATGAATATTTTGTTGGTTTTTTTCAATTGTTTTTGACAAAATATCTTGTTTGGTTTCAGATAAATGCCAAAAGATAGTGAAGTAAGCGTTCATAATTTGTATTACAAACTACATTCATTCATTATCAGAAACTCTGCATACATAATATATTTTATAATATCACAATATTGATTATTAGGTTTAGATTTTCACGCACTACTTTACAGGCACCATACTGAAATGTACATGAATATTATTAATATTATTATACTTATTTTCATAATCATTATAAATCATGGGTATAATCAATTAAGCTAACTTGGTAATGAAAATACAAATGACCACTGAATTTTTACTGGAAGAGGAACATGTTTGCGTATTCTCAATTTGCAGCTAAAACCAGCCTATGCCCTTGATACACATTAAAACGTACTACACATCAACATTTTTTTATTCTAAAACACTTATCATCTAGAGTATTATTACTGGTTGTTTTAACAAGGATTTCTTATGAATACATACATCTTACAGATTCTTCTTGATGCTCACCAAATCAACCTTGAACAACATACGATATATGTGCTCAAGTATTGCACAGTACCTCATGAAAGGCTGTTGATAATTAAATTAAGAAGTTGGTAAAGGACAATAGATGAATTCTAATGTACTACATATTATAATTAATAACCTATAGTTAAAGGGAACCATTAATCATTTTGTTGATGGCATTTGGCGACATAAACTGTTATAAATTTATATTTAATTTATTTGTTTCAATTTTCTTCTGGATGACTACCTGTAGCTCAATAAGAAGGCATTAGTCCAGATTAAATTACAAACATACAATAAAATACAATAGTAAATAAAATTGAAAGTGGAAAAATTGAGTTGGGTATAAAAAAATCATAACAAGTATACAAGTGATGAAATTTGAGAATTCTAAAAAAAAGATTATAAGGCATTGGTTCTAGCTTTTCTGGTAGAAAGAAGTTACATTTCATTCTAGCTGGTGCTGATTATATGTAAATAGAGAAAAATACAAAATTACTTGGATTCTAGCATAACAAAAAAATAGTAATACATAATTAAAGTACAGCAAAACCTATTATTTATTCCAGCTCATATTGATAGTAATGAGGTGGTATTCAATTGAAATCTAGGAAAAAAAATAATCACAATATTATTGTGCTAGACCAAAAATAATTAAATAACCACAACAAAAAGACATTCATAGCAAGCATAATCTTTTAAAATTAGTTTACATTACCTACATCAGCCTCAAATTAAATTTGTTACTGTACTGTCCCAATTCAAATAATCAGATAATCTTATTCATGAATATTACATAAACTATTAACTATTAACTAAGGCAAAATATTATTAATCATAGCCAATGTAATTTCACAATGTGGCAATTCATTAAATAAAATAGATAAAATATAATCAAAAACATTACAGAATATTGATGCCAAAATCACATGTTGATTGATATAATATTTCAAAAAAATAAATCACTCGATTTTGATAAAAAATCACTCGATTTTGATAGAACACACAGGAGAATTCAGGACAACCCTCAATATCGAAATATACATACATACGTCATTGGTCAAAGCAGACAGATCAGGCTACGGTCTTGTGTGTACTACCAATATATACCATGCACTGCACAACAGAGTGTAGTGATGAGTCATAAATGACCCAATTTCATATTTCTAATTATTTGAAAATGAAAATCCCAACACTAAAACATTGACTCAGAAATGGGAAGGGTGTCTAGCAGGGATATTATGACCCACGATAAATGACTCATTTTATTTATCCAATTATTTATCAGATTTGTTTTCTTGTTTTCACAGCTTCGCAATCAGTATATCAAACGACTAAATTTTATGTCACCTCTTAATAATGATAAAGTTTACCTTTATCATATTTCATCTTGTCTTATACAAGCTATGATGCCATACAATTATTGATGTTCATTGGTTTGCATCATGCTAATTCCAAGATGCATAGTGTGATTAATTTATTTTTCCAACTGTGAGCTTTGGCTGAAATAATAATGTATATATATTTTTTTGATTGTTGAAATAAAGGTACCACAAATAGTGAAAGCTGATCAAGCAATGTTCACTTTTATTTTTATTTCAACAATATTTTGTGAGGGTGATCCATCCAGACTGAGCTGATCAATTGGGACTGTCACCAACTCCTTCTACATTGCAATTGGAGTTGGTAGGCTGTAAAACACTTACCATCCCCACTATTTAGTTGTTATAAGTTTGGAAATGGGGGTATTCAACTTTTAATTTAAAAAAAAAACAAAACAAGTTGTCCCAAATCCCTCTGATAACCAGTAGCATATCTAGG